AGCTCTACACCTTGTTATCTCAGATTCTCCAGCATCGGCAGTTCCTACTATCTCTGAGGCAATGGTGAGTTGCCTTCTTTGACCAATATAGCTCAAGAGTTTGAAAATGTTGGTTTTGCTAGTTGCACTCTCAACCCATGAGTAGATTAATAGAAAAAAATCCTCCCTACTCTTCCTGAGGGCACTGATTCTCTTAGATATAATGCTTTCATTGGCACTGATTGCACTTAGTACTGAATGCATGCAGCTATTATTCATGCATTAGCCTCAATAGCTTCAGCAAGCTGTCCAACTATGGGGGACCTCACAGCTGTGCACAGTGCAAACCTCAGTATTTACACAGACACTTTCCAGATTGATTTTCCATTTAAGGCTGGTATTCTCAGTTGGCGTCTTCAATTTCCATTTAGCACTATCATGTATTACTTTGCTTCATTGCGTATTGTCATTGTGAAATGACAATACAGTGCACATTGATCTGATGTCGGGTGCCATGACACTAATTGGCAGGATTTTGAAGCAAGTGTAACCACAGGTCATCATTCAAGCTCCAATGAATGACAATTGTAATTTTAGATCTTAAAGAGAATGCAACCCAACAGGTTTATTTGCAGGCAAGTTGAATCCTGAGTTGCTCATTCCATTGCACACAAAGACACAATTCTCAACTGAGAGCTGATCGTATTTTGATGACCAGAGGAGGAGGGACGGAGGGAGAGAGAGAGAATGCGCAAGCGAACGAGAAACACAGCCAGAGAAAGAGACAGCCAGAGAGTGAGCCAGACATTAAGGCACTGATCACTTAAAGCTACTTCCACTGAAACATCTTTAGGGATATCCTCGAAACATCCTGAAGACAAACATCTCCACTGACTCATGGTGACCAAACAAACTGGGAATTAATTCCTTCAGGAAAACACTAAAACACAGGAAGTCAGGAATATTCAGAAATGTCAAGGTGGTGGAGAGACAGCAAAGACCTCTAAACAACTCACTGAACATACCTTTCAAGCAGCACCTGCTCTACATGTGGCAGAGTCTGCCATTTGTGCACTGGTCTAATCAGCCATGAAAGGCGCTGCAAACTGGGGTGAAAACAAGGTATCCTTGAACCAGAGGGTCTGCCTGAGAAGAGACTGATAAGTGTATCCTATTAATGCAGTATTTCTTTTATATTTAATGATTTATGTTATTTGGCATGTTATTTCATCGAGAAACGCTTGGTGCTGTACAGTTACAGTATTGCAACTTGCACACTAATGTCTGAAGAGGCAGTTTTAACAGAGATTCCCATTGGATTTCTCTCATTCACAAATTTAACTTAAGTCATGATTTTCGGGAATGCAACTACATCTTTAATACTGAGATCACTCATTGCATTTAGAACAGAGTGAAATCTCTCAGTTTCAGGATTGAGATAGGCACAATCCTCTTTTCTTTTTAGTCACTTCAAACCAGCTTGAAAAGAATAAAAGAAGCATAATACAAAGAAGAGGAGATAATGGGTTCATGGATTTTTTTTTTTTAAATACACAAACTTTATTCCAAATGATTTCTCCTGCTAATAATTTAAAGATTAAGTGTCAATGAAAATGGATTAATGAAAACTAATTACCATCATAGGCTGTCAAATACACCTTGACACCTATTCGTTCAAATTGTCTGACAACCTGAAAAAAAATAATCAGCAACATGTCAGCATGAGTCAGTCAATCTGTGCAATATCTAGGTTTTAAATATTGCTCGGGTAAAAAAATCACGCATTCAACACAAGAATAAGGTTGTATGAAATTGATGAGTTCATAGATTGGTTCCTTAATACAAGTACATAAAAGCAGTTAATAGTAATCAACATTTATACATTGATGAGAAATCATTCGAGGCAATTAGACTTAACCCAGTTATACTCATCTAGGAGGGATACCAAGTAGTTAAAAACTTAGCACAGAATTGCAAAAAAGAACAGACTGGTGAGCCTGTGGAATTCTTTGCCACAGAACACAGTTGAGGCCAAAACATTGAATATTCTCAAGGAGTCAGATGTAGCTTTTATGGCTAAAGGGATCAAAGGGTGAGGGGTACAGAGTACCAAGTTGGAGGATCAGCCATTATCATATTGAATGGGAGAGCAAGTTCAGACAGGATCGAATAGCCTATTCCAATTTTGCAAATTTTACAGATTAAGCAAATGGATAATGATAGCAGATGCAACTTAACATAAAGATTAATTGGGTGTAAAAGTGTGGGAAATGAGAATATACAGGGAATCTTTGTTTTATATCTCCCCTTTTAAATTTGTCTGTTTCAGATTGATTTTGCCCTTTTTTGTGTCTTCTCTCCTCCTCTAGTTCCTGTTCCCCATTTTAACATCTCTTACTTCCTGGTATCATTTCCGGGCATTGCGCCTCTTATGTCATTGCATCATCAGCAGGGCTCCCTAATCAAATTGATGGAATTGGTGCAATTTTGACTGTACTCTTCAGTCAAAGATCATTTTTCTTTCATAAGAACAGTTCTTTAACTATTGAGGCAAATTTTGTTTTCAATCTTTGCATTTTAAATTTCTCTAGTGTTTGTACCTGCACTACTGGTAGAGGAATTTCTGTGGACTTAGTTTTCTTCTGTACTGTAGTCCATAGTACTTTACCTATACAGGTACAATAATTGTAAAACATATACTATACCTATGCGGTAATTTAAATGTCTTTAAGCTTCCTTCACCGAAACTTTCCTCGTTTTAATTTTCAAGTTATTTCGGCTAAGAATGCATATGGGATGGTAGCTCAGCGGTTAGCACTGTTGCCTCACAGTGCCAGGGACTCGGGTTCAATTCCAGCCTCAGGCAACTGTCTGTATGGAGTTTGCACGTTCTCCCAGTGTCTGCGGGGGATTCCTCCCACAGTCCAAAGATGTGTAGGTTAGGTGGATCTACCATGGGAAATGCGGTGTTTCAGGGATAGGGTGGGGGTGGGGGTGGGGGTGGGGGGCAAGTTCTTCGGAGAGTTGGTGTGGACATGTTGGGGCTGAATGGCCTGCTTCCACACTGTAGGGATTCCAAAATGTGGCACTAAGAGGGCCAGTTAGCTGGATGGCTGGTTCGTAAAGCAGAGTGACGCAAATACCATGGATTCAATTCCTGCACTGGCTGAGATTACTAAGAAGGACTGTCCTTCTCAACCATTTCCTTTTCCAGAGGCGTGGTGACCCTCAGGTTAAGCCATCACCAGTCATCTCTCTCACTCTCTCTCATTTGAGAGAGCAGCCCTATGGTCTGGTAAGACTATGGCATGATATTTCACTTTTTATTTGCTGGGCTTCCCTCAGAAACCTAACTCTATTTTTAACACAGACTCCATGGGAAACCCCATTTCCCTTACAGGTGTACTTTTCAGGAACACAACCTTGACTAAGTGAGGTTGCTCTATAGCCTAAATGGGGAAATGCTAAACATATTTAAAAGCATGAAAAGTTAATCCAAAAAAAAAGTTGAGGTGCTGAGCTACACCACAAGATTATAGAATCTAAATGCACACAATGTTATTGATACACAATGGTAGGGATGCCTCATTTGATAATGATAGGAATATAGATCTTATGTAATTTCAACTCTCAAGCCTGCTGCACCATTTGAGATCATAGCTGATCATCTACCTCAATGCCACATTCCTGTGCTTTTCCCAAATCCCTTGAGGTCGTAAATAACCAAAACCTATCAATCTCTGCCTTGAGTGTAATGACTGAACTTCCCCAGCAGTCCAGATATATCACTCCTCATCTCAATCCTAAATGGCTTGCCTGTGTTCCTGTGATCTAGGCCCCAGAGGCAGGGGAAACATCCTTTAAAGAAGTAGAGCAAATACAGAAAGGATTTTGTCAGTTTTCAGAAGAAACTCAGTCTTGAATAAATTTAACGACCCAGCCTCCATTGATTTTGGGGAAGAAATTTAGTAGATTAATGACATTTCTCCTCCCTCTTAAAAGGGCAGATCTCTTATTTTTATACAGTGTCCCTTATCCCAGTCTCCCCATGCTAGGTTGCTGAGGAAAAGTACAGTAATGAATATTTTGAAGCTATACTTGAGACTAAGCTTTTAAGTTTATAATCCACACAGCTGAGAAAGTTAATGAGTGAAGTGATGGGGATGTTTGAATGCAGGAAGCTAAAATTTTAACTGTGAGTGATCCTGCCTCAAAACAAAATCAGAGCAAGGATTAAATTTAAATTAACCAAAAAGCAAATGCAGCACAACAACAAAGAAATAAAACAAGGAACAGTGGACATTTCAGATCTGAAACAGAGACAAACTGCTGGAGAAAATCAGCAGATCTGATAGCATCTGTGGGAAGAAAGCAGAGTTAATGTTGAGTCCCACCAAACTATCTATCTTCTTTTTTCTCTCATGCGCATTTTTGGTTTCCTATTAAATGCGTTTATCTTATTTCCCTCAGCTACTCCATATAGTAGCAAGTTCTACATGCTGACTACTCTCTTAGTAAAGAAGATTGTCTCAAATTCTTTATTAGATTTGTTAGTGATTAGCATTCAGTTATGGCCTTTAAACTTCACAAGACATAAAATACACTACCCTGAAAAATATATACAGCATCAATTTGAGTGCACTATTCTAGGAAAGAGGGTTAATAAGGAATATTTAGATTTTGTTTTAAAAGAGATACCGTGGTGAACAATATAGCAGAGCAGACTCAATAAGCTGGATAGCTTATTCATGTGCTTATCTTTCTATTAGAAGATTCAAAAGTACATTCAAAAATCCAAAAAGAACATTCAAAGATAATGATTATCATTATTACAAATATAGTTGTGCCAGATTCTGAAGTAGAAGGTACAAGATAAATCTGTGTTAAGCTATGCTCAAAAGGGATGCAAGTCATTGAATTGGAGTTGAGTCTGCAGCCCCAATTCTAACAGACAATTCTTTCTAAATGACTCAACAAAGTGAACAATGGATCATTGTATAAACATACAAATGGCTTCACCCTTCCAGGTAAGCATGATTGCATCATATATACTGAAAATTTGAGAACTTTTTAGGGAAATTGCACTGGAAGTAAGAAATCAAGAAGTTTCCCTCAAATACTTTTCATTAAAAACTCCCATATTTGAAGGAGAGAAAGTGGTCACGAGGCAATCAATAAATCTAATTGAAAATGCAATGATATATCAATAATATAACTCACTGAGCTGTTTCTAAAACCACAATACAATACTGGTTTTACAAAGGCAAACACTCAAAATCTGAACCAAAAACAAAGTATGCAGAAAATATATATCTGTATCTGAGGGAGAAGAGTTTAAATATTTTGGGAAGTACTCTTTATGTTACTGGATGTTAGAAGAAACCAACAATTTTTGTTTTAGAATTCAGCTTGATCGGTGAAACATTTCAAGTATTTTCAGTTTTCACTCCGATATCAACAAATATTTACTCACCATTTTCAGGATTCTCACTCCTACAAGATCCATAAATGACACTGCACTAAAATCAAAAATAAGGCTATGAATGGTAACTTTGGGAACGAGGACTTTGATAGGGAGATCTGAATTCCAGTCAACTTTAATTTCCACTTCTTTTGAAGGAACATCCTCTTCTAATTCTTCTTGATATTCCTCGTCATCTTCAAATGCCTCATTAGAAACACTTCCATCAGTAACAGCACCATCCTAAAGAAAGACAGGCAAATTTTAAAAATTTTCTGGACAACCTATTACATAGATCATTGTGAAATTCATCAAGTTAAAAAAAAGTAAACAAAAAATCATCTTTAAACTGCTAGATCAGGAGTTTATTTTTATAAATAGCATACTCAAATTTGAATTAATAAAAAGTAAAGCAATCTTGTATATAAAACATATATATATACACACACACAATATGGGCACAGTTTTTATTTAGCAATAACGTGCATTCCTCACTTGCACACAGGATTTCTAAAAAGGTGCTCAAGATCAAGAACAAAGTAAAAAAAAAATGCAGGGGATGCCAACAAGGCATGGAAAGCAGAAGATCTTGTTTGACCTGCAAGGTGAAGATGTTCATCATTTGTGGAGTTAAGTAAGTTTCTGGTGGGTGTAACTGCCATGGCTGATCAGCATCTGAATGATTTTGGTCCAAACAATTTTCAACAAATTGTTGGTTTCGAATTTCCTCTGCTGACATTTTATCTATCTTTTTTGTCATACAGTTGTTTTCAAAGGTGGCAACACTGTTTTAAGAGAAGAACAAATGAAAAACTGGAAAATCTCAGGAGGTCAGGCACAATCTGTGAAGAAAAAGAAAGCTGACATTTCAAGTCGAAGACATGTCACTTGAAACTTGACTCTGTTGCCTGATTTGCTGAGCTTTTCCAGCTAAGTTCATTCTTACTTCAGATTTCCAGCATCTGCAGGACTTCTCATTGCATTTTTCTTGAGGTGGTTGTGCCAGGTGTAAAGTTCCTGAGTGAGCTTCTCCCAGAACTCAAAAGGTGGATCGAAACTCCTGGGTGAAGCTTTTAGATTATCCTTTTCAGTTTAATTTGTTTCCATTAGAGTGGCCCAAACTCACTATAAAATATTCAGTTTAGTGAATGAGTGAGAGGCATTCTGGCTGCAGCTGAACTTATTGTGACTATTTCAATATGGTATCGAGTGAGCATCACTGTGTCTTGCCTTCCGATCTTCTGAAGGCAGCTTAAGTGAAAATGGTTAAGCTTCTTAGTAGGACATTGGTACACAGCCCAGGTTTGACATGTATAGAGCAGAGTGAGCAGAAGTATTGCCTCTATAGATGTTCAGTGTAGGGGTAGGCATTTCCACTCCTGTTCATTTTCACACTGAATCAAAGTCTGTCAATAGGTTACACTTGCTTTGATGGTTCTTGCACCTGTCACAATGTCAATATTGATAGCTCAAGAAGAAGTGGTGAACCAAAAGCAGAGTTAGCCATCAGCTTGAGAGAGGTTGTTAAAATAGGGCCATCAAGGGCTATTATGAGCAAACTAGTACCTACCCATGCTGGCAGAGAGGAAACTGAAACACATTGAAAAGCCCAGTGTTTGTAGAGTGGAGGGGACATGTGGTACATAAAGCAGGAGGTAATCACAGTGACAGGTCAGTGTGACACCATGGAGAGATCAGCAAGCAAATGAAGAACTATTCAATCAACCGACTGTGGGAAGCCAGCAAAAATAGGCTCTGCAAAATATCATGCAGTGGAGAAGAATTTGCAGCATTTTGACTGTGTTGACACATATAGAGGGTTCAGTTTGACAGTCAGCAAGGAGTGTGCTACAGGAAATGAGACATTGGTGATATGGATAAATTGAGGTGGAAAAAGGGGACAGCTTGGTGAAGTAGGCTTGAAGTAGAAAGAAATGGTGCAGCAGAATTGAAAAATAAATTGAACGTACACAAAAGGCTTCACACTTACATGTTAATGCAGTCAAGCCAGAGATACATTGCCTCTGGCTCTGACTAGCACCAATCAGGATGGCTTTGGCACTTATATAATAACGAACATGATAAAACATTTGACCTACTTAAAGTCTACCATATACTGTTAAATAAGAATTCAGCAATAGATGTCAACTTTGTATATACGAAATAGTGATTGGAAAGATGAGAAGCTACTGGTGGCAAAGTCGTGCCTACATTATTGCAGTAAAATGTAAAATCAAAATGATAGCAATCTCACTGAAATAGTTTGCAGAAGAGAGGCAATAAAGAGAGATGGAATGTCCAACAATGTTACTGAAAATAAAAAGGAAGTTAGAAAACAATGTTTAAAATTACACTAGACACGAGCTTTAGATAAAGAAACTTCTTTGACTACATAATTGCAGTACCAAAAGTGTGATTTACCTTTGTGGTTTTTAACTGACCCTTCTTTATAAGCTTCTGAATCTTCTTCAATGCTTTGGTTCGTTTATTAAACACTCGAACTGGATTAAATCCAACCTGAAACAATTGCATTCATTGAAAATTTTTTTTTGCGTCGACCATTTGATCTATTGACTATTGTACACGCATAATTGTGGATTTACTCACAGCAGCATTCACTTTCTCCTTAAAATAATCAACACTTCCAAAATATAAAGGAGATGAAAATTTGAAGATCTTCACTCCTGGTGGTTCAACAAGCTATAGAATAGGCAGAAAATATACAGTTTTCATGAGTTTGTGTATGCATTCTATTTTAGAACAGCTTCTCGAAACAAATTTAAATGTTCTTACATTTTTGTACTTCTTTAAGTTCTTGTAAATGTCAGTACTTGGTACATTTCCTAAAGCAGTAGTAACAGGGCTAGAAAATTAATATTGAATTAAATAAATGAAGATTCCAGACAGAAAAATGATAAACTAAGTAGTGTATCATTCTAATAAAACGCTATACAAATACTTACAACTGGGTTCGAAGTACAACAGTTAGAAGCTCAAAGCACACACCAACTAAAAGCCCCAAATCTAGTCCCAGAAGGATGGATGAAATCCATGTAACAACCCAGATCAGCTACAGAAAGGCAAGATAAAGAGTTAAAGAACATTGTTTTCTTAAAATAAAGGCTTAGTTTTTGGAAGACTACTTTATTTGACAATAGTATACCATAAATCTTGTAGCCATTTTATGATTAGAGTGACACATACATAACAGAAATAATGCACAAAATCCATTCTCGAGCACAAGACTGCATTGAATAACATTTCTAAAATATTACTGCAAATTTATAGTTTTTATTGCTTGGAATCTGCATGTATAAAATACCATGTGCAATCACTATTCACATGATATCCTGAAACTCCATTGCAATAAATGTGACAAATCAAGGTATTTGCAATATTCCTTATTCAAGATATCACAGCTAGGAGAATTTCTACAAAGGTCTGCTCCAGGTAAAAGATGAGTAAAATACATATCACATACCAGGACAATCACATTTTTAAAATGAATATGAAGGTTGTTTCTTTTGTTTTTTTTAAAACAAAAAAGAAGTATCATTCATTAAATACTTACACAATCAACTTTGTTTTGTCTCCACAACACTGGAACATCAAAGGTTTGCCAGAACATTCCTTTCAGATTGGCAATGACAATTGCTGCCAAAACAGCCTGAGAAATTAGTTAAGAAAATGCATTTCAGGTATTCTGCTTCAGCATTTCAAAACACTAAGCTTTCCAGGTGACTCATGATAACTGCATATTTATTTAGACATATCTTTCCAGTGTGGTGATGTTTTGCAACAAATCAATGGAAATAACTAATCATCAATATGAAAATCCAATCCATTCTATTATGTTCATTAATTCTCAGCAATCAGTTATAAATATAATGCCAATTTCAGTGATCCTGCCTAAACAGGTGGTGGAATCGAGAGACACAGGCGGCCAACTGACTTCAGAACCAGTGAAATTAGTTCAAGAATTCAGTCCAAGGGGTGGCACAGCAAAGTAGATTTGAGACCACAATCAGATCGGTCATGAACCGGTCATGAATGGGAAAGCAGGCTTGTTGGGCAATATAATGTCTGCAATATAAATTTGACTAAATCCTCAGTGTATCTGCTGGTAAAGTAAAAGGACACTGATTTGCAGGAGGCAGGTTTTCTCCAGAGAATCTTCATATAAACAAGGAATAAACTAAATTACTCTGCGCTTTAGACCTGCTCCACGATTCAATAAGGTCCTGGCTGATCTGATTTAAAACCTCACCTCTATATTTCTACATACTGCTAATAATCTTTCATCCTCTTGGTAATCGAGAATGAATCAATTGCTGCCTTAAAAAATGGCATCTACTGCCTTTTGGGGAAGGGAATTCTAAAGATTCTCAACCCTCAGATTTTTTTTGCATCTGTCTTAAATGAATGAACCCTTATTTGTAAAACAATGAGCCCTAGTTCTTTTTTCATCCACAAGAGGGAACATCCATTCCACAGCCTTTCCCCTCAGGACTTGTGTCTTAATGAAGTCATCTCTGATTCTACTAAACTCCAGAGGATAAGGCTTAGTTGGTCTCGCCTTGCCTCGTTAGACAATCCGCTCATTCCTGCTAACAGTCCAGTAAATTCGTCTGATCTGTGGCCAACACATTAACATCACTCTGCAATTACAGTGACCAGTACCGAACACAATGCCCTGTATAATTGAAGTATAACCTCTCCACTCAGGCATTCAATTCCCCTCACTATAAACCATAACATTTTATTAGCTCTGCTAATTATTTTCTCACTAAGTTCCTTCCTCTTTTGTAAGAAACCACTTTCAGAACAAAAAAGACTATTGTAAAGTTGGTTGCTCTCATCAGCAGCCATTACATATACTGGATAAGTAACAAGTAATTCACCTATGGAGAGTGGCACAAGGAAGTCAGGAGAATCACCTGATGAAGCATACAGCATAGGGGAGGAGGAGGAGCAGCAAATGGAACACACAGCAGAGGAGCAATACCCTACTGACTGGAATCCTGTCCCACTCTTCCTCTCTGTCTCACTGCCAAACACATCCACAAGGGTCAGGATTTTGTATCTGACATTAACCATTAATGGAACAGTATCTGTTAAAGGCCAGAAGTATTTTGTTCAACACTACTGTTCTTTCAGAATATTCTTGCTGGTGTGTCACAGAATCTACAGGTATATATTTTTTCATTAACAGGATGACGGGCATCGCTGGCTAGGCAGCAATTATTGCCCATCCCTAATTGCCCAGAGGGCAGTTCAGAGTCAACCACATTGCTGTGGGTCTGGAGTCACATGTAGACCAGACCAGGTAAGGATGGCAGTTTCCTTCCCTACAGGACATTAGTGAATTGGATGGGTTTTTCCTGACAATCGACAATGGATTCATGGTCATCATCCGATTTTTAATTCCAGATATTTACTGAATTCTAATTCCACCATCTGGCAGGATTCGAACTCAGGTTTCCAGAACGTTGTCTGGATTAACAGTCCAGTGATAATGCCACTAGACCATTACCTCCCCATACTAGGCCATTGCCTCCCCATATAATTCCATAATAAATATAGAACATTCTTCCACGGAACACAGACCGATTTTCACAGCCTGTACAAGATTGTATCAAAGTCAGAGATCTAAAGCTATGACTGCAATTGTTAAAAGGCGAGACTCCAATGGACAGACCTTTCCATTCTATACTGGAGAGGCTAGATCATCACTTTGTGGGAAATACCACATTAAGCTTCACATCTCTCAATGATAATCATTATTTTATTCCCTGCTCATCCCGAAGGATTTCATGTGAGACAGATGACAGCAAAAGGTACATGGAGTAAGAAGATTGAGCAAGTACAATGCCAAACCCAACCCACCTTTTCATAAGGGCACAGGAACTGACAGGCAGAGGGCTGGATGAGAAATATTGGGCCTCAGTCGTACAAACTCACTATCTCATATACTCAGCCCAGTAAGGCAGCACCAAGAAGAAGCAGACAAGTTAATCATTAAAAGATGCTCTCATACACAATTACTAATGCAAAATACTAAGAAAACACACAGTAATACCACATTCACAGATCACAAACAGGGAACAAACAAACATCCTTGTATTTTCTTTCATTCTAACATCATCAAGCATCTGAGAAGGACATATTCAACTGGAGACATGTAGGATAGTTTGTAATACAAGGCATGTTGCCAGGCAACCGAAGTGGCACTCAAGATCTTAGCAGCTTACAAGCAGGGGATGGTGGAGAGATGTTAGGTTAATTGTCAAGCTTTCTTGATTACAAAATGCATTTAACCATTTCTTTCTTCTGCTGCTCCTCCTCTGCTACTGCCCAAACCTATCCCTCTTGATTATATCTCGCTGATGACACATTTCTACAACAAGCAGTAATTGTCTAATGCTTTTGGACATTTTGGTCGAGTTCATGAATCTCTGACCTCTCCAAACAGTGGAATAGCTGCTTAAGCATACCAATGGTAAACTCCTTCAGCATCCTGTTCAGCACACAAGCCTTGGGTCTGTTCCAGATTCTCAATATGGTATTTAACCAGGGCTTGTTGTCTCCTTGTCCTCCCAGAGACCTTCTGTCGAATCTGCCTGCCCTAGTGGTGACATGATGGACCACAAGGAAAGTATAGGCACTGTGACCTTTACTAGATATTTACTGGTGTGATTCAGATCTTGTGGTCAAAGGCATGGTGGCTCAATGGTTAGTCCTGCTACCTCACAGCGCTAGGAACCCAGGTTCAAATCCACTCTTGGGCGACTGTGTGGAGTGTGCGCATTCTCCCCGTCTCTGTGTGGGTTTCCTCCCACAGTCCAAAGATGTGCAGCCTAGGTAGATTGGCCATGCTAAATTGCCCATAGTGTTCAGGGATGTGTAGATTAGGTGGCTTATGGGGGTTGGGTCTGGGTAGGATGCTTGGAGGGTCAGTGTGGACTTGTTGGGCCAAAGGGTCTGTTTCCACACTGTAGAGATTTTATGATCTATGATCTATCATCTGGCAGTAATGAAACTGAACACTTTCCTCTCTGCTTATGCTATAGAGTTGTGTGTATGTAAGTATGAGCTCATTATGTCAGGGATAATACAGGAGTAAGCCATTCAAACTTTAACTCTTTTTCTACCATTCAATAAGAGAATGACTGATCTGCATCTGAACTACATTTGTCCATCATAGGTGCATAATCCTAGATTAAAAAAATCTAGCAACCTCTCAGTCATAGAGCTGTACAGCATGGAAACATACCCTTCGGTCCAACTCATCCATGCCAACCAAATGTCCTAAATTAATCGAGTCAGCATTTGGCCCATAGCCCTCTAAACCCTTCCTATTCATGTACCCATCCAGATGCCTTTTAAATGTCATTGTACCAGCCTCCACCAGTTCCTGTGGCAGCACATTCTGTACATGCACCACCTTGCTCATGAAAAAGTTGCCCCTTAAGTCATTTATAAATATTTCCCCTCTCAACTTAAACCTATGTCCTCTAGGTTTGGACTCCCCCAGCCTGGAGAAAAGACCTTGGCTATTCACCCTACCCATGCCCCTCATGATTTTATAATCCTCTACAAGGTCACTCCTCAGTCTCCAACACTCCAGGGAAAATATCCCTTGACTATACGGCTTCTCCCTGTAGCTCAAACCCTGGCAACAACTTAGTAAATCTTTTCTGAATCCTTTCAAGTTTCACAACATCCTTCCTATAGCAGGAAGACCAGAATTGAATGCAGTATTCCAAAAGTGGCCTAACCAATGTCCTGTACAGCCGCAACATGACCTCCCAGCTCCTATACTGACCAATAAAGGCAAGCGTACCAAATGCCTTCTTCAACATCCTACCTACCTGCGATGCCACTTTCAAGGAACTATGAACCTGCAGTCCAAGGTCTTTTTGTTCAGCAACACTCCCCAGGACCTTACTATTAAATGTATAAGTCCTGCCCTGATTTCCCTTTCCAAACTGCAGCACCTCGCATTTATCTAAATTAAACTCCATCTGCCACTCCTTGCCCCATTGACCCACGTGATTAAGAGCCCACTGTACTCTGAGGTAACATTCTCACCGTCCACTACACCTCTAATTTTGGTGTCATCTGCAAACTCACTAACCATACTTATTATGTTTAAATCCAAATCATTTATATAAATGAGGAAAAGCAGTGAACCCAGCACGGAGCCTGGCGCACACTGCTTGTCATGGGCCTCCAGTCTGAAAAGCAACACTCCAGCTTCACCCTCTGTCTTCTTCCTTCAAGCCAGTCTGTATCCAAATGGCTAGTTCTCCATGTATTCCATTTGAGCTAACCATGTTAACCAGTCAATCATGCAGAACCTTGTCAAATGCCTTGTTGAAGTCCACAAACATCACGTCAACTGCTCCACCCTCATCAATCCCCTTTGTTACTTCTTCAAAAAACTGAATTAAGTTAATGAGACACGACATCCCACACACAAAGCAATGTTGACTATCCCTAACTAGTCCTTGCCTTTCCAAATCCATGTAAATCCTGTTCCTCAGGATTCCTTCCAACAATTTGCCCATCAACGATGTTATGCTCACCGGTCTATAGTTTCCTGGCTTTTCTTAATCACCTTTCTTAAATAGTGGCATCACATTTGCCAACCTCCAGTCTTCCAGCACCTCACATGGCTATTGATGATACAAATATCTCTGCAAGAGGCCCAGCTATCACTTCCATAACTTCCTACAGAGTTCTAGGGTCCACCTGTTCAGGTCCCAGGGATTTTTCCAGGTTTAGGCATTTTAAGATGTCCAGCACCTCCCTCCTCTGTAATATGGACATTTTTCAAGATGTCACTGTTTATTTCCCAACCTTCTCTATCTTCCATATCCTTCTCCACAGTAAACACTGATGCAAAATACCCATTTAGTGTCTCCCCCATCTCCTGGGGTTCCATATGTAGGCGACCTTGCTGATCTTTAAGGGACCTATTCTCTCCCTAGTTATTCTTTTATCCTTAGATGTATTTGTAGAATCCCTCTGGATTATCCTTAACCCTATTTGCCAAAGCTACCTCATGTGCTCTTTCTTCTCCTCCTGATTTCCCTCTTAAGTATACTCCTACTGCCTTTATACTTTTCTAGGGATTCACTTGATCCCCGTTGTCTATACCTGACATATGCTTCCTTCTTTTTCTTGACCAACATCATAATTTCCCTGAACATCCAGCACTGCCTACACTTACCAACCTTGCCCTTCACCCTAACAGGAACATACTGTCTCTGGACTCTCATTTTTCTTTTAAGGCCATTTTCCAGCCGTCCCTTTACCTGTGAACATCCGCGCCGCCCCAATCAACTTTTGAAAGTTCTTGCCTAATACCTTCAAAGTTGGCCTTCCTTCAATTTAGAACTTTAACTTTTCCATTTCTGAATTTTCAAAACTCACACCTCAATTTGATCATCAGTTAAATCTCTTCTAAATGAGAGGAAATACACCTCTAGTCTGTGCAACCTGTTCCTTGTAATCCTTTCCTTTTAAAGCCAATATCATTCTTGGGGTATATTTGCTGCACCCGGTTCATGGCTAGCATATCCTTGAAGTGCAGCATCCAGAATGCTGTCCAAGCAGCATTCTGAACAAGTGAAACATAACTTCCACCTCTTTGTATTCTCACCCTCTTGAAGTAAAGGCCAAATACCAGGAATTCAGTTAGTGCTACTTATCAGTTAGTGCTGTGGTCCCAGATGTTGCTTTTTGTAGTTTAAAGGAACAAATAATAAGACCTGCTTCCAGGTAAACAAAACTTCTGCCAACTGTGTAACACAGCGAAGCACTTTGCCAAAACCTTCCAGCAGTGATCGGAAAGGATCTAAATCACACAAACATTGAATGCTGTGGTTATCTTCATAACTGCAGCAGAGCAGTGCTTGTGGTGGACTTTGTATGCAGCTTGGGCAATAAACCAAAAGGAAATCAAATGCTAGTGACCAATGGACGACATGGTAGTTCAGTGGTTAGCACCGCTGCCTCACAACACCAGGGTCCCGGGTTCGATTCCACCTTCGGGTGACTGTGTGGAGATTGCACCCGTGCCAGCGTGGGTTTCCCCCGGGTGCTCCAATTTCCTCCCACAGTCCAAAAATGTGCAGGTTAGATGGATTGGCCATGCTAAATTGCCCAATGTCCAGGGATATGCAGGCTAGGTGGATTAGCCATAGGAAATGCAGGGTTACAGGGATAAGGTAGCAGGGTGTGTCTGCATGGCATGCTTTTCAGAGAGTCAGTGTGGATTTGATGGGCTGAATGGCCTGTTTCTACGTTGTAGGGATTCTATCATTCTAAATCATTCAAATGTCTGTAATGCTAATAGTGAACCACCAGAGGCTGTACTGTAGGAACAACCTGAATGAATCTTAGGAGGGATTTGAGAAAGCAAGAGGGAGGGGGATCAAATTAAGAAGCTGCATTAATTATGCTTTTGGTCTCTGGCAAGAAGGCTTCAGACACCACACTAAACCTTAACATTACTGAATTTATAGCTTCTGAAATTAGGCCATCAGGCCTGCCTACCCATTTCAGTCAGAAACACATCCAGAATACAGTGGTGAGCTTCGCTGGCAGACCTATGCTGAATCAGCCCCATGGTTCTGTATGTGGCATGCTTTGAAATAATAAAGTTACCTTCTGCAGAGGTTCGAGTAGTTTTCCAACAATCAGGATGGCAATCATCACAATTACGGCAGATAAAAGCCCAGCAATCTGCAAAAAAGAGAAATGTGAAAAATATCAATGCTAACAAATAAAATTTCTGTCGCAGAGCAATAGTTAAAAAAGAAAACAGTAAAAGTTTTGTGATGCTACATTTAACAACCTTTCAAATGGCTTCACAAGGTTCAGCACGCAGTCAATTAAAAATCACAAGGAAATTGTTGCCAACAGTGAAGAAAGTGTTCAAGCCCTTTCAGTGAATCTCAGTGATACAGCACAGGCAACTATTCAGCGCACAAACTTGTGCCGGCTCTTTGAAGGGGAACCCCATTCCCTTGCTGTTTCTCCATAACCCTGCAAAGATTTTCTGCTTCAAGCACCTTAGCCACTCCTCTTTTGAACTTTATTAATTCACTTGCTTCCACCATCTTTTCATCCATTGCATTAAACTCACTGCAGAATATAATTTATCCTCTCCTGCTCTCTGGTTCTTCTGCCTATTACTGTTGACCATTCTGCCAACGGAAATAGTTACGCTATGAAAATCCTTCATGTTCTTGAACGTCTCTATCAGTGCCCTTTTGGAGAGGTACCCCAGCTTCTTAGAATCTTAAAACCCCTACAGTGTTGATACAAGCCATTTGGCCCATCGAGCCCACACCAACCCTCCAAGTGGTATCCCGCCCAGACCCACGCCCTTACCTTATTCCTGTAAACCTGGATTTCCCATGGCCAATCCAACCAACCTGCACATCTCTGGACTGTGGGAGGAAACTTGCGTAGACACAGGGAGAACGTGCAAACTCCACACAGACGGAACTGAACCTGGGTCCCTGGCGCTGTGGGGCAGCAGTGCTAACCACTAAGCCATTGCCACTCTTCTCCCTCCATGTAAATGAATTCCCACATCTCAGATACCTTACTGATAATTTTATTTCTCCCTGCACCTGCTCCAAGGCTATGACATCCTTCTTCAAGTACAGTGTCTAGAATTGGAACTATTGTCCAGCTGGGTTCTAACCAGTGCTTTGTAAAAGGTTTAGCATAACTTCTCATGCAAAAAAGAAAGATACTGTAAATGCTGGAAAACAACTGATGCTGGTTAGGCTGGAGAGAAACACAGTTAACATTTCAGGTTGGTAATGTTTCATCAATACTGGAGGAGGAGGATAGGCATGCAGGAGTTCTGGGCCCATAGAAAGACAAGGAAGAAAGTCAAGAAAGGAATAAAAATAGGTCTTTGATAGGACAGAGGGCAGGAGAGATCAACTAAATATTTCATGATGTAAAAGCCATAAAAAAGTATAGTAAATAAACAAAGATGGGTTCTGCAAGGTTAAAAAGCATCATCTGAATCAACACGAGGGGATAAAGTAAAAAAAACAAGCCAACAAACAAAATACCTAAAAAAGAACAAGATGTAGGCAGAGGTTATAATCCAAAGTTGAACTCAGAGTCTAAGAGGCTATAGAATGCCAAGACCAAAGACAAGATGTTGTTCCTTGAGTTTGTGTGGAGCTTCACTGGAACACTGTCCTAGGCCATGGATACAAAATATCAAAGTGGGAGCTAGGTGCAGAATTATAATGACATCTCCTAGCTTCCTGTTGCCCATGCACGGACTGAGTGGAATTGTTCTGGAAGGGTGACAGCAGAAGTTGGCAAAATCAAATCAGGCACAAATGGGGGCTATGTCAACTGTAATGAGTAGGAATCTTTGGTCTAGGAAACAAAGCGCTAATTTGGAAGGCATTACCAGAACAGATTGAGAACCTGGAAAAAGGGAATAGAATCCTCACAGGAGGCAGGGTGTGAAGATGTGTAGTCAAGGTAGATGTGGGAGTTTATGGGCTTTGAATAGAGTATTAAATTTATTACATCACTACAATCGTTGCTAGCATCCAAGCAACTGCCACTCATCATTACTTTGTTTTCTCAACCAATTTTACATCCATCTGTCCAACACTCCTTTAATTCTGCGTGGTTCAATTTTGCTAAAAGTTTAGAACATGGTATATTATCAAACGGCTTTTGTAAAGCAATCCATTTCTTATGCTTGTTATGTTTGTTCTTTATTCTTTCCATCATGTGGTGAATTGAATGCCCTCTGAAGTGGCCTAACAAGTCACTTAGTTGTAGAACTGGCAACATGGCCATGAGATTTGCTGACAAAGTATAAGCACACATGTAATCTTTGTCTATTCTTTACCTGAGTTTTGCCGCCTGTGCTTTCCTGTACAGCTGTACGTGACAGAGCAGTGCCTGCCAAAAAGCTTGAGAAACAACCAGCGAAAATATTCGAAATTCCGAGAGCAATGAATTCCTGGAAGATTGCACAATTAAATAAATACTCGTGCAAATGATAGTTCAATTGCTGTCAACAGTCTTATCTTACTACTTTGATACAAGTTGGTGACACGTTAATGTGATTAAGCAGATTTTTCTCCTCAGAAGAATGTATTTTGTCAGTTCACACAGTTGACAACTGTGCACTTCTTATATTGAACTTGGAAAATCTCTACATAATTCTTTAAATCAGTCACATTCACTTCTGTAGCACTCAAGTAGGTTTTGGCAGATTCTAATTTCCATTATGTGAGATCCAAGAAAAAATCCACATGCTTTGGACCGACAGCAAAAGAGAGGAAAAATAACTGCATAAGTAAAGCTGACTGCTTTACTGTCAATAAAAATGTTTCCAAAATTGGAGATGAACCCAAAAATACTGCAGGTCAAGTCTCTGTCAAGATACTCACGAGACTGGAGGGTTGAGGAGGATGGAACCAGGATGGAAAAAGAAGAAACAGTAGATGGAATATATTTGGATTTCCAAAATGAGTATGATAAGGAGTACTGCATGTAAGGTTACTTCATAAGATAACAGCCCATGGAGATGGTTTTAGGAGATTAGTATGGAGAAAGGATTAGCTAACTGTTAGAAAATAGATTTGGGATAAAACAGGCAATTTCAGGATATCTGTCTGTAACTAGGAAATGCCATGGCAATCAGTAATATATGTTGTAAATAATCATGGCCCCAGTAACGACTTGGATGACATAAGTAAATGTATTATCTGCAAATTTGGCAATAACAAGAGAAAGCAAGTAATGAGGTTGACAGAGTCTACAGAGGGATACAGCTGAAATGAGTGGGTAAAAACTCGGCAATGAAACATAACATGGGAAAATGTGAAGTTGGCAGCAAGAATAGAAGAGCTGAATATTATTTAAAATGGTGAAAGACTGTAGAAAGCTGTAGCATAGAGGGATTGGGGATCCTTGTGCATGAATCACAAAAGTGTCTAAATTCAGTAAGTAATAGGGAAGACAAATAGACTGGAATTCCCTCCCTATTGGCATTGTGGCTGTACCTACACCAAATGATGGCAGCAGTTTAAAAAGGCAGCTCACCACCACCACCTTCTCAAGAGCAACTATGGCTGGGCAATAAATGCTGAGTCATAGCTGAATAGGCTGGGGCTTTTTTCCCCCCGGAGCATCGGAGGCTGAGGGGTGACCTCAGAGGTTTATAAAATCATGGGGGGCATGGATAGGGTGAATGGCCAAGTTCCTTGTCTTAGGGTAGGGAAGTGTAAAACTACACGTGAGAGGGCAAGATTTAAAAGGGGCCTAAAGGGCAATTTTTCATGCAGAGGGTGGTGTATGTGTGGAACAAGATGCCAGAAGTGATGGAGGAGGCGGGTACAGTTACAACATTTAAAAGGCATGTGAATGGGTACATGAATAGGAAGGGTTTAGAAGGATATGGGCCAAATGCTGGCAAATGGACTAGATCAGTTTAGAATATCTGGTCAGTGCAGACAAGTTGGACCAAAGGGCCTGCTTCCATATTCTATAACTCTTGGCCTTTATTTCAAAAGAAATGTAGTATAAAAATAAGGAGATAATGCTAAATCTATACAAGATCCTACTTAGATCACTGTGAATACTGTAAGCAGTTGTGGTCCCCTTATCTAAGGAGAGATATACTGACATTGGAGACAGTCCAGAGAAGGCTTACAAGATTAATTCTGGGTACGGAGGGATTTTCTTTTGTGGAGAGGTTAAGTAGGTTGGACTTGTACTCACAGAGGCGGCTTCCCTTGAGAGAGTCTAAGACCATAGGGCTTAATCTCAGAATAAAGGGGTCATCCATTTAAGATAGATGAGGATTATTTTCCACTCTCTCAAAAGGTAGCCAATCTGAATTTCTTTTAAAAAACCACAGAAAGCTATTGATGCCAGATCGTTGACTATATTCAAGCTGAGATGATAGGTTGTAAATCAGTCAGTCAGGGAATAAAGGACTTTGAGGATAAAGGTAGGAGAGTGAAACTGAGGATTATCAGATAAATCATGATCTCATTGAATGGCGAATTAGACCTGATGGCCTGAATGGCCTAACTTTTGCTCCTACATCTTATGGTTTGCAAAATCTGCAAGGAACCAAAAAAAAAGAACAGATGTAGCGTTACTTATACCTCCCACCCAGGTGGTTGTTGAGAGAGTAATTGCAAGACCATAATGATGGCACCAAGGAGGGTGGGTACAGGTTTCTTTTGTCTGTGGCTGTGCACATGTTTCCATTCCACTTGGGATCTCAGCACAAGATTGTGCCAGTTGACAACCAGGTAATGCAAGTGATTCAGTTCTGGAAAACTGAATGTCATTGTGTGAACAAAAAACAGTGCCAACTGGGAGTGTTCTAGGGCCATTTCCATCCTAGTCTCAAAGCACAACTGGCTCCAAAGTTATGTTAACTTGAACAATCCAAAAATAAATTACAAAGTCATATTTTAAGGGGATGTTGCATTAATAGATTGATATTGCTCAGCTGACACAACTGACAAATCTGTGGTGATTTGACTAAGTTCCTGCAGGGCTATTACAATAGCAACTGCTTAATTTATTCTCAAAAAGTAACATTGATTGACTTTAGGATTATCACTCAAGCCTATATTTTCACTTTGAAAATATAGTGGGTAGAACTTTGAATGGGGAACACGAGGATGCTAAACAGGTGGATATGCAAAACATCCGTAACAGTTGGTCTCGTTTTACATTTCTGCACATGCTAAGTTTCACCGAATCTCTCAATCAAACAGCAATGACTCATCTTAAGACGACTGCTAGCTCTCAAACTGCTGTTTGAAACTATTCTGACTTCTAAATTTTGTCAGGCAGGACATTAGTTCACATTCCATCAAACTCCATTAATGTAAGAATTAACAACAATTACGATAGAAATCAAATTTTGATTACTGAACTTGTTTTTAAAAAAAGATAGATGGGTAAGTTTTTCAAGCTCAAGCTTTCACTTTAAAAACAAGCATCCAACTATAGAGACAACAGTAGAATCTTGCTTACTAACCACAGCATCATGTACCTAACTGCTTATGTGTTAGCTATGCAAGCTACAGTAACTTTAACTTGAAATATAACTCAGAACTTTCCCTGTGTCTTGTGACACCACACTTTGTTTGCTGTTTCCATGGCTATTTTTTCCTGGAACAGGTCAGCAGAAGTCATAGCTGGAGCAGCACCATGCCACATCATGAATGACTTGCCAGGAGAGCCTCCCCCACTCTCTACTGCCTTCAACAGGCAGATTGGGAAGATTCACAGGTCATTAATCATGTTTTATGGCCATGTTATGAATGCAGATTCCATGGCCATCATGCCCTGGAGGGATAACTAAACCCATGGCTCAGAGGCAAGGACGCTACCCACTGCATCACAGGGTCTCCTTAACATAACTAAGACACCAAAAGTGAATTGACACTATATTCAAACCCTCTCTTACCTGGTTTCCATCAATGGGATAGTCATGTTTGCTGCCAAATACTTTAGCAACTGAAACAGCCACAGCATATCCTACTATAGCAATGGAAAATGCTGATGCACCCACTTGACCAAAAATGCCCACATCTGGGGTCACTGGCGGTAAAAATCTGTGCACAAGAGCAAAATGAAAAAAAAGTTCAAACATTTCTGTGCTCAATCTGACAAAAGCTTTCACATCCGTAACAAAGAATACAAACAGCATATTTAAACTGCAATACATGAATTGTGACATCTTGAAAAGGATGTAATCTTCAAATTTAATCTTCTTACCCTGTTGGAATGCTGTTAATAATTCCAGCATTGTACTTCTCTTTCAAGTTAGCACCATAGGAGATCCCTGTAGCTATAATAGTCTGGAACAAGCAAACATGTTCAAAAATCAACCATGTTTATATATTGCTACTTCTCCCACTATGTTCACCAATCATGTTCTAACTCTAACCTATTCTATACCAAGATCTCCTAGGGTTGTATTTTAACAGCCTTCTGGAGACATCGTGGGAATCAGGAGAGGCGATAAGATGGCACTGAGAGGGGACATTACAAACTTTTCACTGCACTCATTGGACTGCACGTGACAATAAAGGCTATTCTAGTTCTAATCAGGAGGGGAGCTCAATGTATTCCCACTGACCTGGGACATTATCACAGGCAGGAATGACAACAGCATAGCTGGCCACTGACCAGAGATGGACAGCCAATTAATTGTAATTAAAGTAACTAATAAGCTTATAGAGGATTATTTTGTGATCTTGTCAGGAATTTTTTTTGGCACTTGAACTACCCCCTGCTGTGTAGTTAGTGAATAGTGACAGACTCCCTGGGAATCTTTCTTTCTGTGGACTCCATAAGTCACAGAGGGGACCGCTGGTCGCAATGACTGGTCCCTTGGTCCCAACAGAAGTGAAAGTCACCAGAGTTCCAGAGAACGATCAGCTGCTCTCTCAGTGGAGATACATGACTGGAAAGGACAAAAGTTGAGAAAACAGAGCTCGTGGAGAGTTCAATCCCTCCAAAAGCCCACCATGTAGACGCGGTACCCCTCAACAGGCAGATGGTCACATTTCCCTTGCAGCCATCACAACAGTCACCATTGGCAGTGATGCTGCTGCAGCTACAGATCTTCTGATGATCTAGCCATCACCTTCTTGCTGTTTGTGAACCAACCTGTTCAAAAGGGGATGCTATATTTTCAAATTTACAACAGACTTCATTGTCTGCAAAGAAGTTTTGAGGTTGTAAAAAGTTCTGTATCAATGTAAATGATTTCTTTATTTTTCCCGGCTTAGTTAGGCAAGTAATTTTTGTCTCCGTGAGCCTTGCACAGCCATATGGAAAGATGTTTTTAGCCAAAGAGAAGTTTGAAAAATAAAACTGAACTTTTAAAAACAAGTTTATAGATGTTACCTACTTGGCTGCACAATGGAATCTACCTCATTAACAAACAAACAGGGTTGGTCAGAACACCACAATGATCTGTGTAATAGTGAGTAACTGAATTCAATCTTGGAACAAAATTCTCTGTTCAGAAAATAGACACTAAGTTCTCCTTGCATTGTGAGGTACCAAGCCAAAACATTTCACAGGTCAAATTGGATCATAAGGTCTTAATGAATTTAATAAAGCAGCAGGTGGGGAACAGAATAGATGCGACTGTCCCCAGGATTAGATGAAGTGAAAAAAAGGACAATTATTCCAATTGCCCGAGGGTGAACATGTGACAACAGTATTAAGTGATCTGATTAGCCCTTCTATATTTGGGCATTCAATGTTAACTTTTCTGTAAATAACAGGCACATTGGTGGAGTACCAAAGAGCTATCATTGTTGCAATGAAACCAAATATCAGTGCGTTTAAAAAGATGAAAAGCCAGAAAAAGCTGACACTCCACCTTTACCTAAGGGGTTGACTTAAACTACTTCTTTGGTTTTATGACTGATTTAATTTACTTACCACTATCAGTTCGATAGGAATAGGCACTTTAATCTTATCTTTGTAACGATTATTGATTTCTTTTACAATTACACACACGACAAAGGTAATCAAGCCAGCAATGAAGTCTGCAATATTGGTTTGTCGAATATTCCGGAATATGTCAATAAGAGTCTACAAAATAAATTTAAAAGCAGAAATTATAACAAATGCAGAATCTCAGCCAGAAAAGCAATTTGATACTTATGCTGGAGTTAGAGAAAGTGATATGAATTAGGTTTTCTTAATATGCTTGCTCATTCAGCTGGCAACATTTTCTCCTTTTTGAATAGAAAGTCATGAATTCTGACCATGTCACAGATTTGAATATATATATTTACAGCAGTAATGAGGGTTTCCTGCATTGTTAGAAGTGTTCTCTTTCAGATGTTAAGCCTACACCCTAATTGCTTGCTCAGCAGGTCATACAAGCTTCCATGCAACTTTGTAAAAGAGTTTGAAGTACAGGAAGATTCCTAGGTATTTTGACTAAGCTCAAAAACATACAAACATGTGAAATACATCAGGCAGAATAAGTGCAGCTATTTGATCAAGTCAACCGCACAACACAATAGCTGGACCAAGATGATTAAACACTATCCCTCCCCTGAACATGTTTCCACCCCTAACAAATACCATGTAAGACTTTCAGATAATCGGATAATTTATTTTCTATTTGTGAAATCTTGTTGTGCACAAATTGACACCAAGTATGTCTGAAATGCCTGCACTTCAAAATAGTTAATTAGTCATAAATTAGAGAACATATACAATTTGTTTGATAAATGGGCACCAGGTACTGTCACATCAGATTGGGATATGAAGTTCTCCACAGTCAGACCGCCTGCCTGTAGTCAACATCAAAACTAATGCATGTTAATGCAAGTTGGGCTTGGTTTCTGTACAGTCGCACCCATACGAAAGTATTTTCAATGGACAATAAGTGAACAGCAAAATTTTCCTATCAATATTCATCATGCAAAAGAAATGAAATGCATGCCCATCTTCTGATGACCAGCACTATCAAGTCTCCTTGCTAAAAAAAAATTAAACTTGCTGCTCTGGACCAGTTTTCCACCATTTGTCCATACACAAAAGCTTTATTCTTTTTGACATTCATAGAATGGCTCATTGGAAGCTTAATTTCACTTGTGCTATAAAGAACTGTTGGTTTTGTCGTTGTGGCTTATGAATTTGTCTTTCCCTCTGTAGTGATTGTAATGAGGTCAGCCAGGTGGCTCTCATAGAATGAGTTCTCTGCTTTGGACCAGGTTAACAGCCCCATCAGGGAGCCCTGGCTGACAGATATAAACAGGACGGTCAGAGTTTCAGTCCACTCAGCTGGCTCTGAGGAAGCTGGACCAGTGTCAAGTACTATGCGTGTGTAAATAAAGCGTAGCTTGGTGACAGGATACCAGCTTCTGCAGAGTCATTTCAGTGGCAACGATAGAGAAAAAAAAATACGGTCCTGAAGAAATTCACTTGAAACAGTCGTCTTTGAGTTGGGTAAGCATTTCTGGCATCATGCTGTTATTTGGGAAGCTTGACTTGCTCAATCCTTCTGAAGACTGGGCTAGTATGTGGAAAGAATGCTTTTTTTTTCCCCTGGGCAAATGACATTGGGGCAGACAAAAAGCAACGATTGATTCTCCTGAGATAACAAGGTGTAGAGCTGGATGAACACAGCAGGCCAAGCAGCATCACAGGAGCAGGAAGGCTGACGTTTTGGGCCTAGACCCTTCATCCTACTATCTCCGATTGATTCTCCGGACAGCTTGTGGACCTGCAGCTTTTTCCATTATTAGGAGCCCAGCATTTCCTGAGGCAGCAGAAACTAAAACCTTTCAAGAGTTGACTGATTTAGTTAAGGAATATTATGACCCCAAACCTCCAATTCGGAGACGCTATCAGTTTTACTCTGCAGTTCGAGAACCAGGGGAATCCGTGTCGGGATCTTGGAGGTTAAGATGACCAGCAAAGGCATGTGAGTTTGGCTAACCCTTAATGAGATACTAAGTGATCATTTGGTATGTGGGATTAATGATGTAACTATGCAAAAAGTGCCTACCAGCTGCAGTCCAACTGGATTTCAAACAGGCACTATAACTGGTTTTGTCATTAGAAAATGCCATGATTGGATCGTATGAGTTACAGGCTATGCCGATGGAAGCGGACACCTTCACCAGACCAACTGAGCTTGTGGGACACCATTTGAGTGGAGGCAATTACATAGCTTCACTCAGGACATATCCTAAACAGGTCAGCTCACAACAAAGCCCTAAAACAAAGCCAAGCCTTGGCCAAACGGTTAACATTTTTGCCAGGATCCGGGTCAGTAGGCCAATGTAGTTGCTGCCAGTATGCAGGCTCAACATAGTGTAAGAGTCCTAATAGTCCTGAATTGGGAAAGAGAACCTCATAGGCTAGTATCCATAAGCCAGATGGGAGAAATGTGTGTTCCAGGCACCCCAAGTGACCTACTTGGATTACAGAGTTGACAAGACCGGGTTACACCTAGTGGAAGATAAACTGAGGGCTCCCAGGTCTGTAACGGAGCTTAAGTCTTTCCTCGGCCTGCTAAATTATTAAAGGAAGTTCATACGTAACCTGGCCTCCATCCTGCCACCCTTACATTTGCTACTGAGAAACGGTCAGCCTTGGAAATGATCTCAAAGCCAAGACATAGCCTTTAGGGAAGTGAAGCAGCAGCTATCATCCTCTAAGGTGTTGGCACATTTTGATCCCAAACGAGATCTAGTGCTGACATTCAATGCCTCACCGTATGGTATCAGGGTAGCGTTGGCTCACAGATGGCCCAATGGAAAGGAACATATGCTGCCCAGACTTTTGGCTGATACAGAGCGCAAATACGCCCAGATCGTGAAGGAAGATTTGGCAGTCATCGTTGGTGTGAGAAAGTTGCACCAATACCTTTGCAGATATAAATTTGCAATAGTAACAGACCACAAACCCCTGCTAAGGGGTTAAGGCCATGCTGCTCATAGCTTCAGGTTGAATTCCGCAGTGGACTCTCATTCTAAGTGTACAATTATAAGTTGAAACACCATCCGGGAAGCCAAGGAGCAAATGCGGATGCCTCGAGCTACCTCCCACTGGCAGATATACCACTGGTGGTGCCGCCAGGGGAAGAGTTCATTCTGATTTTAAACTTTCTGGACACTCTTCCAGTCACTGCAGACAATATCAGGACCTGACAAAACTAAAACTGGTGGTGCTAGGGGAAACAAAAGAGCCATCACAATCAGTTCATAGAATACGAGTTCCTGACTGGGGCTGTTAATCTGGTCTAACTGGGGAGCCCTGACTGACAGACATGAACAGCAGTGTCAGAGGTTCAGTTTACTCAGAGCTGGCTCTGAGGAAGCCAGACCAGTGTCACATACTAAGCGTGTGTAAATAAGCGGTGACTTAGTGACAGGATAGTGGCCTCTGTGCAGTTATTTCACCTCATTTAGCAATGTCTCTTTATGACTTTGTGGGTCTCTTTATGGAATGAGGATTATTTGACTGTTAATTAGACCCAATTACCTAAAATTAAGTTTGATTTTGAATCAAAATCTGTTTCAAAAAGGGATAAGGGCTTAAATTTGAGCAGTTTAAATCCTTCAATTCCTACATACCTTAGAACTAAATTTAGCCACAATTTAAATTATTACCGTCATTTTAATATTCAAAACCATTTCACATAAAATAATTATTTGCTCTTGAACAAGCACAAGATAATACTCACATATATGACCGACAGAACACCCATGTAACTCTGTGTTGGGACGCTTAAGCATATTTTCAATTGAAACACAAAAACGTGAAATGCAGCAGCTGTTGTAAATCCTCCCACTAATGGCACGGAGAGGTATCGAACAATGAAACCAACTTGCAGAATCCCAAGCACAAGCTAAAATATGAAGGAAACAGCTGTTAGTAACGTCGTTTAAATGGTATATGAATAAAGCACAGATGGTGGCTATTCGGCCCACTGTGTCAATGCCAGCTCTCTGAAAAAAGCAAACGCAGCTAGTCAGACTAATGCACAGGTCCACAAATTCTCATCCGCTAATACCCTTTTGAAAGCTGTGATCGATTCAGCCTTCACCACACTCTCAGGCAATGTAGTCCAGTTGCTAACTACATGCTGTAAGGAAAACATTTTATCCTCAGTTATCCAGCACCTCAAATCAGTATCTTCTGGTTCTCAATTCTTCTGCCAATAGGAATCGATTTTTCCCATCTTCTCTGGCCAGACCCCTTTGGGCTTTGTTTGAGGAGAAATATTAAGACAATTAAAAATATATATTACCTGAATAATGCCAGCAAGAACAGTGACTGAAGATGCAATTATAACTCTCTGGCCATCTCTGGCAACCGTATCCACAAGCGTAGCATTGTCATCTGTCATGTTACTTGAAATCAGGAAATTTTCATCAGGTGTCATTGATAGACTCAAAGTCCCTATCATCAAACTGGTAATTGGAAAAGGTCCTATGCAAAGTCAAGCAAATAAATATATCTAAGACAGGAACAGAACTCATTCATTTCAAGTTATGGTGACTGATATGATATAATGGGAACTTTCAAACAGTAACATACCCATAATCTACAAATCTTTTCCCGATACAAAAACTTTTCTTGAAGTTGCAAACTTGTTCTGGAATAAGATTTCACACATGCCTGCTCCCATCTTGTAGCTTATCCATATGATCATTCTTCATGCGTGAACCTATACTAAGTATTTGGGACTTCACAATGGAGTGTCATCCCAATGTTCACATTTCAGTTTTGCACTCTTGTACAGGAAATGTGTTGATTTGAGCAATAATATTTTTTGTATGTGCATTCATTGACATTGATGTAATTAATCTTCTTAATTCATTCATAAGATGTGGTGTGGCTGGCCAGGCCAACATTTATTGCCCATCCCTAATTGCCCAGAGGGCAGTTAAGAGTCAACCAGATTGCTTTTTCTGGAGTCACACGTAGGCCAGACCAGGTAAGGACTATAGTTTCCTTCCCTAAAGGACATTAGTGGACCAGCTGGATTTTTATCCAAAACCAGTTATGGTACCATGGTCATTTTATTAAATTACAGATTTTTCTATTGAATTCCTGGCACAATTTGAACCTGTTTCCCCAGAACATTACCCAAGTCCCTGGATTAATGACCTAGCAATAATCCCAATAGGCAACTGCCTCCCCAAGATTCGTGTTAGGGGTGGACTTATTCTTGTTTGAGTTTAAAACTGACCTACGCAAATTTTGTCTGATCCCATAAAATCAAAATGCCTCTGCTAATTTAATAATTGTTCAATTGAAGTTTTACCTCCAAAAGTACAGTTGAAACAAAAGACATCAACAATACCTGTAAAACACCAGCTTTACAATCAAATGTGCTCATTAACGGAGCCTTGATTAGTAACTTCCCAGTTCAGCAAAATGTAGGAAATACATACTTTTATTTGCACCTTAACATTTCTAGACCCAAGATCAAAACTAAAAAACTCAGGAGGTTCAACCAAAGTGTACTCACCAACAGCTAAATGTTTTGAAGTTCCCAAGAAGAAATAGGGCAGAATGGGGAAAAATGCTGAGTAGAGACCAAAAGCAACAGGGACTTCGGCCAACAGAGCAAATGCCAGGCCTAAAAAAAGAAATATTTGGTATAATACTACCTTTCATCATCTTAAATTTATAATGCAATTATAGTCTAATTGCAAGAAACAAAATAATTTGATCTAAAATTTGTTTCTTTGAGGTCCACTCCAGTTTCATCACATTTCAAACTGAATCAGTTAGTAAGTTCGTTATGAAGGACCATAAAAATTTCTTATAAATGAAATCTCACTCTGTGGTTAGTAAAATTTAGGTTAATACATATAATCTCATATTTAGTTTATTTTTATGGCTGTTTCACAGCACAGGTTTGGCATTGGTTTTTATCACTCACTCCCCAACTAAGAAATTTTAGCTGTAGGTACAATTAACAAAAAAAAAGCGAATTATGCATGACAAGGATCAGCAGAAAAGACAATTTGATTCCCATATTAATAGGCCAGTGTTTGCAAAAGTATTGCATCATCGGAATCCACTTGACACTATGTATGGAGTCCTTACCCAATGCATCTTGGAGCCATAAGCCCTCTGTAGAAGTAACAATAATATGGTATTCTCATCAAGTTTTTTCCATTTGCCACTATTTTAGTCAAAGTAAACTGCTGGATTAACTCAGTCATGCAGCAGCTTTGGAAAGAGTAAGAGAGTGAACTTTTCAGGTTGATGGCCTTCTTTGGTACTGGCAACTGTTAGAGATGTAATACATTTTAAGCCCGTACCAGAGAAAGGGCAGGAAGGAGGAATGGAACACAAGAGGATTGCAGGGGAGGAAAGTACAAAAGGGACGTTTGAGATAGGTTGTGAGACGGGGTGATTAAATAACAAAATGAATAATGGTGTAAAAGAAAAGAGGTGGTAAAATGGGATAAAACATAACAGGTCAATAGTCACCATAAACAACAGCATTATTACAGAATCATTCCCAGAATATGCTGTATGAACAATATTGGAGTAATGATTTCTGATCTGAACTTTTTGAACTCAAAAGCTGAGTCTGGAAGAATGTAAAACACCCGACTGATTGGTGATGTGTTGTTCCTCAGGCTTCCAGTGAGATTCATTAGAAAAAATTATAGGGAGCAAAGAGTTCAAAGTAGGATTGGAATGGAGAATCAAAATGGCAAACAACCAAAAAGGTCAAGATCAAGCTTATGGAATTGTTGGAGATGGTCCAAAGTGATCACCAAAACTAAATGTGTCCTCTGCAATGTAGCAAAGATAGTGAACAGCTAAAACATTAAATTGTTTCAACTTGAAAGAATACTTGAGGTCTTGAGCATTGGTAACCATGTAGGAGAAAAAGGGTGGGAGTTGCACTTGCATGGAAAAGACAGTAGGTCTTGTGATGACTGCAGAGTGAACTATGGTGTCAGTGGTTCCTTTGGGAAGGATGATGTGTTTGATCATATCAATGCACTAGAAGATAAGATGTTCAATTTGGAAGCTAGTGAGGTGGAAAGCAAGGAGAAAATGAACTCCATTGTGATTCTGGGATGGAGGTGAAAATAACAGGAGAAAAAGTAGGAAATGAGGTAGACTCAGAGCCAGGGTCCTGTTGACATGGTGGAGGGGAATTCTCAATGGAGGAAAATATATGGAGGCCACATTGCAAACAGTGAATGCAGTATACTAAATTGGAAAGTGGCATTGTCAGAACAGATGCAACAAAGTTAGAGAAACTGGGAGAAATGAATAGAATCTTTACATGAAAAGGGACAGGAAGAAATTTTTTTTAAGATAACTGTGGCTGTAATAGTACTTATAGTGGATTTTGATAATTTTCCATCTTCATTTGAGGATTGACAAGTTAAGAAAGTGGGCAATATGAAGAAAAGGGAGAGATGGAAACAGATAAATTTAACAATTTGCCAGTTCAAGGGGAAAGCAAGAAACCACACTCATACAATGTACTAGAAAAGTAAATCAAGAAGAAGAGGATCATTCTGGTACTGGAATAAAGAATATTCCATGCAATTGGAAGGATAGAGTCATAGAGATGTATAGCATGGAAACAAACCCTTCAGTCCAACTCGTCCATGCCAACCAGATATCCTAAATTAATCTATTCCCATTCACCAGCATTTAGCCCATATCCCTCTGAACCCTTCTTATTCATATACCCATCCAGATGCCTTTCAAATGTTGAAATTGTACCAGGCTCCACCACTTCTCCTGGCAACTCAGTCCATACATGCACCACCATCTGCATGAAAATGTTGCCCCTTAGGTCCCTTTTAAATCTTCCGCTTCTCACCTTAAAGCTGTGCCCTCTAGTTTTGGCTCCCTCCATTCACTTATTTAGAATCAGACCCATAAAATTTCCCACAGCAATACTTGTTATCTGGAAGAAATAAGGAAAGAGCCAAAGAGGGAAGCTATTCAAAATGGATAGGTTGTGGTTAGACCTCTATTGAACGAAGACACAGAGGGCCTGCAGACTTTTATGATTGAAGATTGAGAAGAAGCACTAGTTGTCCATAATAAAAAGAGATAGATAGGATAGGAAAGGAAACAGGAAAACAACTGTCAAAGTGACAAGGGCATTGTGCAATTCACAGATGTGGAGATGTAGATGGAGAAGACAAGAAGTTTTCAGACCGACAGGCAAGTTCTCTGGGACAAGAACAAGCTGAAACAATGGGTATGCCAAGCAGCAACTCCAAACGAAGTGATCAAAAGGCGGCATGCAGGCAGAGAATGGGGTCCAGATAGGACAAAATTTCTGCATGGAGGAAGAAGGGTCCTCTGTGCTGGGGATGGTCTGGTGCAGGAATATGTTGATGGTGGTGAACAGACTTCCAGCAAATAAAGTTAAATCAGACAGGAAGGAAGAAGAGTTTAACATTGTCTCAAGCTCAAAATTTTGCTGAGATGGGTCTAAGGGGATAAAGTCGGGGCTTTTACTGGGAATAATTGTTGCGTGTGGGGTTGGGGAGGGTAAGAGGTCAAAAGAAGATTAGAGGATATACTGAAACTCAAAAGGTGAGATCGAAAAAGGAAGGATGTGGTTGGAAGAAGTGAAGGAGAAGAATATTGTGAGGGTTATTTTTCAACTGTTACTGGTTTCATTGGACTTTTCTTATGACTACAAATATCATTCTCTTAGAGAATTCTCATAACAGATCCAGTTCAAGATTTTGCAAATGTAGTTCTGCAGCGAGCTTAACTGATGGTTGCTCAGGAGTAGCCTATATTGAATAACTACTAACCCATTATCAGTACCAGGGCAAAGCACATGACCTCCACTCAACATCTCCTGTGATGCTATTGTAAACAGTCCTGCATTAAAAATGTGTAACTTTATTGGACCGGACACTTCATAGATAAAAGCTATTTTGATCACAATATTGTACATAAAATTATTCATGCACAAAATTAGGTCCCTACATGTGAACCCATGTTATGCATACCTTTTATTAACAAGACCTGAATTGATCATTTGAGACCACCTTTAAGGTATTGTTAGGACAGTTTTAAAGTTGAAAAACTTGGTCTGTCAGCCTCAGGCCATCATTAAGTAAAAAATGCACAATATTCTACAAAGAGACAAGTGTTATCCACTGTTCTAACCAGTTGATGAGAATGGACTTGATGCTATTTTGTGGGGCCCCAGAAACGTAAAATTTAAGACCACCATCTTAGTTCCATTAGCTCAAAAAGTGTTCCTTGGCAAGCTCTTGGCCTCAACAAAAATAAGACCCCTTTAGTTGTGATAAATGGAATGTTTACATTAGATTTCTTGTTCAGTTGCATATTATAGACCTGCAATATTATTAGGGGAGGAAAATTGGATTTCATTCCATTTTCAGTAATAGATCAAGCGAAGCTACACTACTTATTGCATTTAACCCTGTCACAAAGTGGAACAAAAACTAAGTTCAAATATAGAAAATACCACAGAGAAATTTGTTCTACTTCACTAGTTTGAAATGATCAATGTGTCTTATTCAGTGAAGGAAACTAAAATTCTTCACCATATCCAGTCAAATGAGCAAAAACCAATGATTGCTGAAACTATAGCTGCATAGAGCAGGTGGGTTATTATTTCAAAATTTTCAAAAAGTTAAATGTATTTGTATCCTGGAAACAAGCTTACCTTGTAACGTTGCCACCAGACCAGTGCTCAGTCCAGAAATGATATCACCAGGCAACCATTCCTTCAATCTGTACTTGGGCAACCAATCCAATATGGGCAGAAAGCCTTTAATTATGCCCAGAACCCTTTTAACTGAGCAACTGCAGAGAAACAAAATTAACAAATAACATACTTGAATTTGTGTAACAGAAATCAAAATCAGTGCTGTTCAGTTCTGATAGACTCTGAAGTTGCCCTATCAAATCATGCAGTGTCCCTCACAATGATTGCCAGATACAAGATAAACAAAAAACAAAAGAAAAATGAACAACAGAATCCAATGATATAAAGTATGACAAATAACACAAAAAGGGATCTTGGGGACATGATTTTGTTATGATTCATAAAACACTGAAAAATAATAACTTCATCCCTTGGGTTTGTTTTAATTGAAAGCAATATTGAAAAGTAATGGAAGATCTAGTTTGAGTATAACATGAATGTTATTCCATTTAATTTCCTCTTTAAAACTTCTATTCTTCTACACTTTGTTAAACCAGAAATTGTTCAAAATCAATTTTGAACACCACAAGTGAACCAGCAAGCAATCTACCCTAAAAGTTTGGATTTTAGCTACTAGTCATACTCATTGGCACATTGAGCCTCATTTCCACAAAATAATTCCCATATTCATGTAATTTATTTCTTTGTGTCTTTATTATTTAAAAACAAAAATGTTCTTTGCTCCCAAAAATCACCTTGCATCCAACAAAAATAATTGTAATGCCTTTTCACAGGCCTCAAATTCTGGATTGTTCACAGATCCACCAAATACTTCACAAAGTTAAATGACCCAATAGAGGATCCATCCTTTCCCTTCTGTGGCATTCCAAAACTAAATTTCCTATTATATGGATTTATTTTTATATATAATATGTGCCCTTTCAACTGACAGTACACAACTGAACATGAGAAATAGAAAATGCTGGAAATATTCATTCGGGCATGCTGATCTATAAAGAGAAAAACAGTGATACTGTTTCAGGTTGATGACCTTTCATTAGAAGTGTTTTTCCAGCATTTCCTGTTTATTTGTCTCAGGTTTCCACAGTTCAGTCAGACAGGTGTGTGCAGTTTTGGTCTCATTAAGGAAGGATGGAAATACTTTGGAGGTCGTTCAGAGGAGGTTTACGAGATTGCTACCTGGAATAAAAGGGTTGTCCTAGATGAAAAATTGGAGGGGTTGGACTTGTTTTCACCAGAGTGAAAAAAGTGATTTTCTTGAAGTTTAGGAGATCCTGGATGTCTGGACAAGGTGGGCTTCTCCTTCTCTCTTCTTGTGGGCGAGATCAGAAATAGATGGCACAACTTAAAACCTGGGTCACCTGTTTAAGACCAAGATGAGAAGGTTTTCTTTCCTGAGAGGCTGTGCAACTCTGAAACACTACCTTTGAAGGCAGAATGTTGAATTTATTTGATCGGTGAAGGTAGAATGACTTCATATTTAACAAGAATTGATGATTAGCAGGGATAAATAAGAATGTGGAATTCAGAACATAAACCTGCCATGATCTTAATAATGAATGGCAGGGTAGGCTTGAAGGGTCAATGGCATACTTCTGCTCCTAATTTGTATGTCTGTATGTTAGTATTATGCTTACAATGGTTTAAAATATTTGGCTGATCCACATCTTTTCCTTTGTGCTTTATATGACAAGGTGCCCTACCAAGAGCATTTGTATTTTATGTTTTTGAGAACATCCATCTTTCCCAACCAGTTTATGATAGACATTTGACATTGAGTTTGGGAGATTTGGTCCAAAGCTAGGGCCTTAAATCCAAACAGAACAGATTACGTAGATATGAGGGGCAATTTAGTTAAATTAGATTGAAAAACACATGACAATGGATAAAGTAATGTCTTCTAGAGCTGAGGAGTCCAGGACAAGTGGCCGACAGTGTCAGGATAAGAGGGTCAGGCATTCAAGGTTTTTGAGAGGATTTGTAGCTTGGGTTGTTGATGCGGTTGTTAACATGCTCACCGAGCTGATTGTTTGCAGATGTTTCGTCACCATACTAGGTAACATCATCAGTGTGCCTCCGGTGAAGCATCGGTGTTCCATCCCACTTGCTATTTGTGTCTTGGTTTGCTGGGGTGAATGGCATCACTTCCAGGTTTGTTACTTAGTGGTTGGTATATGGGGTCCAGCTCCACATGTTTGTCAATGGAGTTCCGGTTTGAGTGACAGGCCTCCAGGAATTCTCATGCATGTCTTGGCTTGGTTTGTCCTAGGATGGCTCCATTAATTGGCCTTATTGATTGGTGGAGCATGTTCAGTGGGCTCCAACGGTCTATTCCTGCTTCAATTTCTTATAACCTAATTTGTAAATTCAAACGTGTTCCTTTTTATACTGCATATAGAGCACAAATGATGAACTATTTTCTATTGTTCAATCACTGGCTGTAAACATCAAAATGCTTCTTATAGTCTTACTTCCTTGTATTTTGTTGAAAAAATTCATTTCTTCATAACAGTATTCAAGTTTAGCAGCCACCAACCCATTTAAGAGTCTCAGAGTCATACAGCAGAGAAACAGAACTTTCAGTCCAACCAGTCCACACCAAACATAATCCCAAACTAAACTAGTCCCACCTGTGTGCTCTAGGCCCATATTGCTCCAAACCTCTCCTATTCATGTATTTGTCCAAATGTCTTTTAAACATTGTCATTGTACCCATATCCACAACTTCCTCAGGAAGTTCACTTCATGTGTGAACCACCCTGTGCAAAAGAATTGTCTCATGTCTTTTTTTCAAATCTCTCTTCTCTCACCTTAAAACATGTGCCCCCTCGTCTTGAAATTCCATATCCTAGGGAAAAGCCAACTACCACTAACTCTATCTACACCCCTCATTATTTTATAAACTTCTATCAGGTCACCTCTCAATCTCCTATGTTCCAGTGGAAAAAATCCTAGCCTTTCTCTACTCAAACCTTCTATACCCAGGAACATCCTGGTAAATCTCTTCTGAACTCTCTCTAGTTTAACAATCTTCACTATGAAATTTAACATCTCACAAATCACTCAGATTTTCCCCTTGTAGTAAGAACCCATTTACACAAGGACAGAAAGTTTAGATGCAAGTTGAAAGGGAAGGAATTAAAGATACCTTTCTCTTCCCCTCTCCGAAACCCATTATCACCCCAGCTAGTGCACCTGAAGTTTAACAGGCATCGCTGTACAATTTACCAGAGCCATTTTCTGCTGTTTGTCTGGTTAGGACTACTTACCTTTCAAGTTGTTGGTATGCAGGATTACCTGGAGCTAAATAAGAAGAATTCTTGTTGTTACTGACAGCTGTACCCATCCAGATTCTCTAAGTGAGCCACTCTAACCAGTCAGGCATTACAAAACTCTAGAGCACTGCAGAGCTGCCTGGTTGAGGTACTGAGTTATTGAGTTTGCGAAAGAGGACATTAGTTTAAAAGCAATCATCAGGCATGTAAAATTAAAACTACCCGAACAGGCTTTGATTTTCAGTATGGTGGAAAAGCCTGCATTCTGCAGCCAACCTAATCTACCTTTTGTCAAAGCCTGATGTCATGTAAAGTTAAAGTTGCCATAGTTTATGGTAACCTCAATCAGTTTGGGAATTGAACCCACACTGTTGGCATGACTGTGAATCACAAACCAGCCATCCAGCCAACTAAGCTAATCAAACCCCTCCCAGTCTGCAATGCAGCATGAGGCCAACAGTGCAGATTTAATACCTGCACTGGCCGAAGTTGCCATGCATGTCCCTCCCTCTCAACCTCTCCCCTCGTCTAAGCTGTGGTGACTCTCAGGTTAGACCACCACCAATTCGCTTTATCTAAAAGGGACAGCAACTCTATGGTCCGATAGACCAGAATTAAAGATTGCTCATTTAAAGTTTTAGTAGGCAATGAGACACAAAGAAGTTAACTTGCACACAAAGCTAGATAACTAAAAGCGTAGATTGAAATGAACCAGGAAATCAGAGGCTTACAATACGCAACTGGTTCATAAGAGAGAGGAGAACTGAAAAAGGAAACAAAAAAAGGCCCCAAAAAGTGTATGAAAATAAATTAATAAGATACTAATTTAATCAACATAAATACCAGAGTAGTCAATGGATGAGTAAATGAAGGACTAGAAGAGATCTTGTGGAAGCAAAGGGCATGACTGAGCTACAAAATGAAATGCTGATAATATCACATGAAATTATTTACAGTGAATCTGTGTGTCTGTCTGTGACATTTTCCACCTACTCTGTACCTGAACACCTTTGAAATGTAATATTAATTTCCTTGCTCTGGATATAGACTACAAGTTCTGGCCTCCTGTACAACCCCAACAATGTCCACTTCTCACCACTTTTCTGGTTCCTACTTTATATTCTAACCAGATAGGCAGTAGCAGAAATGGCAATTTGATGGAATATTATCAGGGTCTGAGCAATGTAGACTACAGCAAGATTTGTGGTAGGGTCAGACAAGCAGTCCGTCAAGGTCTATCTTGCCCCATCTTTTATGCATTTCTCTTACAACACGGCAAAATTCTTGTTAGGCAGCGTTGAGTTACGAATTAAGGGAGAGTTGCTTTTCAAAAATCTCATTACCAACACAAGTCGCCTCATTACTATTCAGCTTCCAATCTTACCAAGTGCCTCAAACAAGCTAGCCGTCAAGAATTCTCGGCGTGAACGTAAGTTCAGATACCTGACACCTTAAGCTCACTGCTTGCTCCAAAGGAGCTCAACTTTAGACACTGGGCAGCAACATCTCAGAGCATGTTCCACGAACACCAGCCACATATACTTCATGTTCGAGGGAATTGGGATCAAACGTGTACCAGGCCATAACAACACTGAGGACATCTCCACTTACAGGATGCTTTTGCACTTTGAGCTGCATTGGCAACTATCATTGTAGTGCCGCTGCTGCTCAGGGTCATGCATCCAGCTCATGGACTGGACCAGGGCACCTCCAGCCTCTTCATTTGGTTCATCATGCTCACTCGCTCAAACTACTTGGATGCTCACAGCATCCCTGTCATGCATTGTCTTTTTGCACTTTTACATCTCAGCCAGATACGCTAAGCTCATTTCACTACTTTCTTGCCTTATTGCTAAGTGCAGTCACAAGCCAGGAAGCTTGTCATGGTTCTCAGCAGTCCCCAGTCAAGTCAAGGGGATTAGCCTTCAATTGGGGGTCCCAACAAGAAAGTTAAAGGTAGCCTCTGATACCAGTCCAAGAGCTTGGACAGTCAGGGTAGTCAAAAATCAGGATGTTCTCCATAAAAGGTGTCAGAAGCTGAATATTAGGCAGCACACCATTATGTGGAGTCTTTCTGGCCTATTATCGGCTGTTTTCCTCTTAAAATTAGGCACGTATTCGGGAGAGGAGAACAGCTGGCATAACTGTATCTTTTGGTGCAAGTGGGGAGATATCTCGAGTGAGAAAGCAGGCAGCACAGAGGGTGAGTGGTAGAACATGAACTTTGGCAGAAGCTGGCACAGTAGCAGAGACTGAGTGAGTGTGACGCTCAGTGGAGAAGGTCACTAGCTTCCTTTCTCCCATGTTGGGTGTTCCTCCAGGTGGCTGAGGCTGCACTGACCTGGGTGGTAATCTCAGACCAGGCTGGGAGGGTTTGGTATTGTGGCTTCCACTGCTGGTCCTAAGGGAAATGGGTGACCCACATCTGCACCATTCCAACCAGCAGGGCCTCCCAATCCCCTACCCACAAATTGGGGTGCAATTTCCCCGGTCTGCCATGTCCTGGGTAAATGTCAGGAAGTGTGCAGGGCAGCTCCAGACTGACAGTGCTTATTTGGGTGCACAATGGGATTTTAAAGATGGCAGGAGCACAAGGGATGTTGGTCTTTTGGTGACTTATCTGATCAGCGGTGAATTGTTCTGGAAATGTGCATTGGAATATAGGAATAGAATTGAAAATGTAGGATGCCACAGGCAAAGGAATAGGTAGTTAACAAGACACATTTGGTAAGATACAATGAGAAATCTCATTGGGCCTTACAGCAAATATTCCTCCAAAAAAACAAAACTCAATGCAACTCTCACTTAGCCAAACAAAAATCTCAAAATTCAGCCCAATTGTTTCTTAACTCCATTCAGCCTTTTCTGTTCATAACGTTACGCTAAAATGCTTCAACTCAAATGTTTCTTAAGTGGCTTTACAATTACTACTTTGCATTATTAAGTTGTTTGAAAATTGCCCACTCAAATCAATTATTTCTTCAGATATTCTTTCCAAATTACAGTATTAGACTTTTTAAAAAAAAAGGTTTAAATTTAGTGGCTGGCAAATATTGATGACGTCTTACAGAATGCTGCTACTGAACTGAAGGGGAACAGGAACCTGTTTTGCTTCAGATTCGAGAATAGCGAGAAACTAATGGAGGTTTTAGAGCGGCTTGCTGGGGACGCGGAGAGGCGGAAAGCCTCCTCTTACCTGCATCTCTTGGCCAGTCGGTCGCGTATAGTCTTGGGGACCTTTTCCTTCTTCTCATTTTCCTCCAGGAAACTATTCTCGGAATAAACCGAACGCGCCACAAAGTAGTTGTGATTGACATTTTCTGCTGTCGGCATTTCAGTCGCTTCAAGGCTCTCCTGTTCAGCGAACAGGTGACTGGACACTGAAACACAATGATCTTTTGGTTATAAACCAAGAGCATCCCGAGTTGGTTTCATTGAAGGCACTTCACTGCAGAGACTCTCAAAAGAATTTGCAGCTTGAACTCTTCCAGTCCAGATTTGCAGTTAAACAAAAGTTACTTAGACTTTGCTAGACTGTGTAACCCACTCAAGTAACTAAAAAATCATCGCCCCTTCTCCCTCTCCAGTTAACAGGCAATGATTTTTGTTTTTTAAAAGTGGGACCATTTGAACAGCCACCTTCTCTATCCAGGAGTTTGTTTTTTTAAAAATTGCAGCTCTTCCGGATAAACTGCTTCTAGTACAATGAACACAAGAGAAAACAATCTGAACGTCTGCCATACCCCGAGAGAGCGCGTAATTGTGGGAGGCTTGTCTGGACTTTCCAAAACACGTCAATTAATACTGGCCAAGTCCCAGAGACACGGTGAATCCCAGAAACAATTTGTCTTCAATAAAACACTTGTGCAGCATATCCACGCTGCACCCCAGTTGAATTGAAAATTCTATTTCACTCCCGTACCCGCAGTCTTTTTGGGTGAAATCCCTCTTGGAAAAAAAATCACACATTGACAAAGTAGGATTTTTTTTTTAAAAAATCCCCTCTACCTTCCAAACAAAACGAACACGTGGATGTCTCCCACCTCATGGCGAACGCTTTTAAACTTAATTCGTATTGTCGGTTTTGAGGGACTGTTCTTCCGGAGAAATTGTTTTTCTTTTTTGTCCCCCCAAAAAAATCCCTAAGCACAATTCCGACAAAGATTATCGACCCAATTCACTCCGAGGCTGGACAGTTAAAAAGTAGTTACTGATTAAAAAAAAATACAAACTGTGAAAATGAGTCAAGTAACAATCAGTTACAGAAACATAACGGGAGTAACGATTTTTTTTTCTGATTCTTTGACATGATACATTTAGAAACTTTCTGTATTTGGTAAATATCTGAATGTGTTTTTAGTACCTGTTCAAAACCCACAGATATGTTTATATAAATTAGCACTTTACCGCTGCCGTCTCGAACCTCCTTGGACGTTGGACGTTTTCATCAAAAGGGTAGAGTTTTCTGCGGGTTTTTATATGGTTATTATATTTTGCTGTTTTATTTATAATGCATACACAAAGCAGCCTGCTCCGGATCAGGGGAGATTGGCTCAGGTCTGCAAGCCCCGCTCATTGCCAAACTTACGCAGAGTAGCAACATGTTTACTCAAACTACTGACTGAAATAAAACACGTCAACAATGGAAATCTATTTGGGGGTAAAAATCATGTTGTTAAAAATCTTAAGTTTCCACCCAAATCAAAAGCAAAATGCGGTAAAAGACTGAGACAGAAATTGCTCGAAATATTCAGCAGGCCAAGCAGCACCAATGAGGAAAGGAGCAGGGTTAGTATGTCAGGTGGACGATCTTCCATCGGTCCTGATGATAGTGACATTAACCTGACTTGCTTCCTTATAGATTATTTCAGCATTTGCAGTCTCCCCGTTCCACTTCCCTTTTAAAAATTTATAATCCGCAATAGCAGCACACCAGGATTACATATGCTAAAATGGACAGAGGAATGCACAAAGGGAAAAGGCTCTCCCAGGTAAGGTTCTTAAATTTTGTGGATAGAAGGGGGTTAAAAGGGCAACTGAATTTTCTAGATATGGCATTGGGTTGTATAATCAAAGGAAATAGCTACCTGTTTATAATAGCCAACAATGAAACAGAGGGTCATAGATTATTAGAGCTCGGTACGGAGAATTGAGAAAATCATGAATGCCCAATCCAAAGTCTTAAAAGCAAGTTTTTATTAGAAAATTTCAACCACCTAGTGACAATTGCTTAGAAGTCCCCTTTTGAACTGTTCCTACCGTGTTTCTTTAGTATCCTGCTCTTTTCACAGATAATTCATATTTTTCAAAACTATAATCTGAAACTATCTGTACTTAAAATGTATTCACCATATCTTGAATTAGTTATCATTCCAATTTAGCACTGAAAATTTTGTTGGTAGAATTTGCATATGTTGACTCATGGATCTGACTTTGCCTAATTTGATTTAGATATTGGAGGAAATATCTTCCTTAAATCTGCCTTGGCAGTTTAGCTGGACTGTTCAGATCTCCGCAGTTACAAGGATTTATTGTCCTTGGATGTGGAGTGTAGCTTTGATGATGTGCAGCTTAGGGGCCTGTGAACCCTGTAGCCCTAAATTCCAGGAGCATGTAATCAGTCAACAATGGTTAATTAACTATCATTCTTCTGTTCAAGAATTACTGTTCCCATGACAAACTTTTGCTAACAATTTATTCTGGAGTTATTTCCCTCCAAAAAATTGCTCAAAAAATAATTTTCAGCATCTGCAGTTGCCCAAAAGAATAAATCAAAGTTATTTATTCTACATTCTTGAAGAGATTGAACTGACTTTCATCTTGTAAAAAGCTCCATTTCTCTTTTCCAAAAACAATTTTAGAAACAAAGTGAGAAACTTATGTAAATATGGTGATAAGGAACGAAATTCTTTAAACAGACAACAGTGAAATTAATTTATCCCATTTGTATTCCTTCAAAATTGTTTGGATTCTGTTTGTATCAACAAATTCCAGACACTGACTTATACTTCTTCAGTTTAGAAATTTGACTATAGTTTTGAAAAATATGAATTATCAGTGACCAATGGTAGTATACAGTAGAAGCACAGTAAGAACAGTTCAAAGGGGCCTTGTCAGCAATTGTCACTAGTTGTTGAAAATTTCCATGCCTTCTAATGGGACTTGCTGTTAAAGTGATCAAGCAGCAATATGTATATTTTAAGATCTTTTACCTTGTCAATCAGTTCTGTGAAGAGTGACAATCAAACAATTCTCATTTCTTCACCACGCCAATGTACATTATGAGCAGACTTCCTTCCAATGCAGCTGTCTCTTTTTAAGAAGATGTTTTATGTGTAGAAACTTGGCATCATGAGGCAATTTGAACCGTGTCATCACAACTGTAAGGTAGGTGGCTCTTAAATTGATGTGGAACTGGTTCTCTGTGTGTGTGCTTGTGTCATGCTACTATATAATGTATGTTATCAAGTGACCAAAATAGTTTCTAGGTGTTTCGTGAGAGGAACGGAGTGTATTCCAAAGAGATTTTGGATACGTAAGCTGCACAACATCATGATACTGAAAAACTTTCCCATTATTAATAACCTTTAATATTACTTAAATATAGATTAGACTTGTATGTTAAAAATGAATTCTGAAGGACAAGATCATTTTGTTGCTGCTTATTTCCTTCATTTCCATATCTTGGCATTATTAATAAATGGTACACTATTGTAAGTACTGTCCTCCAACATGAATGCAGTTGGCATAACCACATTCCTGATAAGTTCAGACAGTAGTAGACTGAGTTTTATTTGATTCCTATTACCAATAAAGTTGCCAACTTAACTAGCTAATTTGCACCTTAGTATCATGCCCTTTCTAATACTGTATGGAATTGTTATGGATACTTTGAGAAAACTTGAAATAAATTATATTTCCTGGTTAGCTGTCATAGAAAGCTAAATGTTACAGCACAGAAGGAGGTCATCCAGCCTATTGATTCTGTGTCAGGAACTTATAAACTTGTGAGGCTTTACCTATCCTTTTAAATCCAACCAGGCTTTGCCTTATGGCCTTATTATTATGCCACATAAATTAAGCAGTTTTAAGCAGTCTACCTAACTTCTTGCATATCAAGATGACATTCACTATCCTCTAGACCTTTAGCATAGATCTATCATTCTTAGTGCTTCTGTAGTCTATGTTTCCTCCTTATTTTCTTGTAAATACTGAAGTAGACAGATTTATTATTTGTGGACATTCCAATTATCAATTTCTTCATAAATCTCATTACTTTCTTTGTAAGAGTTTTTGAGGAAATATGACTGTACTTGGAAACTTAATGTAGTCATTTATGAAGGCTAGTTTGCAAATACATTAAACATCTTTAACAAAATTTTGATACTCAGTTGTCTCACTTCCGAACCTATTTCCTGAAAAATCTACCTGGTCTATCACATTAGTTACAGCTAAAAATATTGTTTATATCCATATTACTGTGCTTGTTTTCTTTTATTGAGAGGTGAAGGCCTATAGTACAGACCAATACGTCTGTTACTGAAAAGGATAACAGGAAAGACAAAAAAAAGATAAACATGTTGAAACTTTAAGAAATAAAGAGGGATGGGTATAAAGCACAGCGCAACATAGTTAGTATCAACACTCGGGTTGAAGGGAGGAGGAGGAGCATTATTTGCAGTCAATCTTTTAACTCTCAACTTATCATTTTGAGTATTTGCCTGACCAATCTGACCCCATCAAGGGCATAAGCATGTTGGACAAATAATTAGGTTAAAACTTAATTCCAGTACTCAGGAAATATTGCATTGTTGGAGGTACCACCTCTTGAATATCACATGGAGTCCTTGTTAGTCTGCTTAGAAGGTCATGAAAAATCCGACAACACTATTCAATGAAGAGGAAGAAAGTATTCTTGTGGGTTGTCCAACACCACCAAAACACATTATCTAATAATTTACCTTATTTGCTGTTAATGGTACTTCGTTGCACAAATTGGTTGCTGTGTTGTCCTGTAAAATTATGATGATTACACCTAAGATTAATTAGTTGTAAAACACTTTAGCATATGAAAGAAGCTGTACAAAAGCATGGATGTTCTCTCTCTCTTTAGTATTTCCTCTATGGGTCGGGGATGAGCAATTTTCTACTTCAATGTGCTATGTTAATACAAGTTATTGTTGTCCAGTTCATGCTGAGCATTTAAAGAAATACTTCAAAAATAGACCAGAGATTGAAAGTGTCAAACTGAAGTGATTTACTGTGAAAATTAAATTGACAAATATCAAACTGTTACGAGATAGATATAACCACAGTTCAATTGACCAACAATTCATTGACCTTATCACAAGTTTTAACAAGTTTGGATATCATTGATTCTCATAGGTATTGGTGTCTGGATTGATCTATTTCCTGTTGTGGATAGATCCAAACATAATTGACTGGGGCAGTTGAAATAAATGGCTGGGTTAAAGCTGCCATTGTCAGTTACCAGGAATCAGTGGTATTACATGGTTCCCTTTTTGTTCTTTAGTGAGAGAAACAAGAAAATATTCTTAACTGGCAGGGTCTCCACTGTTAGAGGAAGATGTTTTAGCAGAAAAGGTTTTATTAAGATCAAATTATATTAATCATGGCTTTGAAAGAATTCTCATTTATGGAAACATTGCCTACCCTAATTATTTCCTTTGCTATTTTGGCTGGAAAGGAGGAAAAAAGGGGGAAATTTACATGCTGACTCATAATAACTGACAATAAGTGGGGGTGGGGGTGGGGGGGCGGAGCTGGGTAGCGCACAAAGTAAGATTTATTGGTTTGAAAAGAAACATAAAAGCAATGTTTTAATAGAACGTTGCATGGAAATAATCCATGTTCAAACTTTGGATACTTTTTAAAAAATGTTTAAGCACTGCATATTGAAACATTTAAATGCAGACTTACAGTGCTACATTTTATAATTTAATAACATATTAAATCATAAGTTATCACACGTGAAACATCAAAATTCCAGGAATGAATTTTGTTCAGCTATTACACTGATGCCACTTGTGATTTTACATCCAGCCCTCATGTGTCTTTACCAGCTCTTGAACTTCTTTCCAGAACTTTGAAAACCATCTCCTTGATATACATTTTGTGCCCATTCCTAGCCTCTCCATTTTTCTCCCCAATTCTCCATGCTCCTGTATTGCTTTATGTAGTAGTTCTGAGTGTGCTACAATAAGTGAAGTGTACTGTAAACATACACCATTGTTGAATGACTTTTCTTTCAAAATTCTATAAATTTTACAATGCCATAAAATGTATAAGCATTTTGAAGATACAATGTGGCTATTTTCACTCAAGCAGGATACGATATGCCAGAATAAATCAAGCTCCTCTATTAACCAGTTGGTAAGGGCCTTTTAGAGCCAAATTAAGAATTCTTGGAGTCCTGTGCACGAAGAATGTTCGGGCTCCCTTCACATGCTCCTGTACAGCCCTCTCCCATAATCTATTAAAATATAGTAAACTTTATGAGCAGGCTGCTAGAATGATTATACACTGCACTAATAAAAAAACAAAATATACTACTATTTTCTGCTGAAATTAAGTATGATTACATATTTGTCTGGGGAACTCCATTCATTGGGCCATAATTTGTGAGCATTTCCACACGTAGGATTAGTCCATTAATTTGAGAAGCTTCAAACTTGAATCCTTATCATCCTCTGCATTTAATATCTTAGCAGGATCAGCGTTTGCAGTGAGTGGCAATAAACGGGGAAAAGAATAAAGATAACCAATGAGTTCGCACTCCTGAGTGCAATCCAGCAAGCCTGGTTACCAGGCAAAAAATAGGATCAGCTCCACAGTCAATTTGCCTGTACTCAGTTTGCTTTGGTGAAGTACTGAGAATTAATAACGCCTTCACAATTGTAACCTAGCAAGTACCCCTTCAGCAGAAAAAAATGTTTTGGAAATCCAAAACTTTTAAAAATCACATTTTTGTTTTA